AGCGGGAGGAGCGGGAGGAGCGGGAGGAGCGGGAGGAGCGGGAGGAGCGGGAGGAGCGGGAGGAGTGGGAGGAGCGGGAGGGAGGGAGGGAGGGAGGGAGGAGCGGGAGGGAGGGAGGAGCGGGAGGGAGGGGCGGGAGGGAGGGAGGGAGGGAGGGAGGGAGAAATAGAAAAGAAGAACCCCACACTAAGATGTGGGGAACAAGAACAAGAAAAGAAAAGAAAAGACAAGACAAGAAAAGAAAAGAAAGAAAGAAAGACAGCAGGGCGAGCGCGCGTGCGCTCGTGTGCTATGGACGGCGCGCTCACGCTCCAGAAAGGGCGCGCTCACAGCGCGCTCTGCAGAGAGAAAGACAGAGAAAGAGAAACTTAAAGAGAAAGAGAGAGAGAGAGAGAGACAGAGAGAGCGAGAGAGATAGAGAGAGAGAGAGAGAGAAAGAAAGAGAGCAGGGCGAGCGCGCGTGCGCCCGCGTGCTATGGACGGCGCGCTCACGCTCCAGAAAGGCGCGCTCAGAGCGCGCTGTGCAGAGAGAAAGACAGAGAAAAAACACTTAAAGAGAATGAGCCAGAGAGAGAGAGAGAGACACAGAAAGAAAGAAAGAAAGAAGGAAAGAAAGAAAGAAAGAAAGAAAGGAAGGAAGGAAGGAAGGAAGGAGGGAAAGAAGGAAAGAAAGAAAGAAAGAACGAAAGAACGAAAGAACGAAAGAAAGACAGACAGACAGAAAGAAAGAAAGACAAAGAGAGAGAGAGAGAGAGCGAGAGCAGGGCGAGCGCGTCGTGTGCTATGGACGGCTTACTGGGCTCTTGTCCTCCTCTTGTCCTTGTCTTGGCCGCGCCCCTGAACTCTGTGGCTGGTCTCTGTGGCCCGGCTTACTGGAGAGGAGTGTGGCCGAACAAATGGCGATGTCAATGCCGACAAAAATTCATTGATGAAGTAGTTTGCTCTTGGAGTGAAAGTAGGGCGTACCAAGAACTCGATTTTTGACTAATATTGGTCTAAACGAATTGTCTTGAAGCTGTTTGGGGTCTACGCTTGTATAATTTTTTTTGATGGCGCTGTTCCCATTAATGTTTCTTCAGTTTATTCTAGGAGTGGCGCTGGCCTTTGAGCACCTTTCTGCGCCTTGATCGGGTTTGAAAACTTTGCGTTGTCGCTTGAGGGAAACCGGTGAGAAGGTCGATGTAGTTGCTGCAGTATCCACGAACTGACATCATTGATAGGGCTTTGTAGGGCTTTGGTTTTCCCACGTTCTCCATGTTCAGCAGGTATTAACAATGGCGCAGGATCTATAGTTTTAGACCCTATTTTGTGGCCATGCATGAAGATCCAATACTGACCTGATGGTTCCATGGCAAAGGAACATGTTGCTTTAAACCATGTGTATTATATATATATATTATAGTATTATATAGGCTGTAACATGTCGCAACTGTACCATCATGGTAATTTTTCTGAGGCGTGATCCGTGGTTGGCCCTGGTCGGCCAGAAGGCTACGAGTTTGTGGCCAACGTTGAAGGAATCAGAAAAAATCAACAAACTGAAAAAATCATGGATTTGGTCATGGCTGAGAAGTGTTTGTGCAGGGTGAACTGCTGCCAGAGGCGGTTGAGGTATCTTTCCAAGAGTCTCTTGGTCTGCATTGGAAACAGACCTTTTTCTGTATCGAAGCTTGCACAGTCTCATGTTTCAGTGCTTCAGCAGCATGCTGTTCAAAGAGTTCAAAACTTCTCCCAACAGACTGGAATAGTGAATACGATGAACCTGGCCGCCTAGAGGGCCTAGCAGGGCAAGATGACTATTGACAGTTGCAGGGAATCAACATGGAGCGCCTGTGCTGGGGCGGCAATAGGGTCAGTTGTTTTGGGGCAATATAAAACAATTTCAACAAATTCTTACCGCACACGGAAGGAAACAGACTGCACGGTAGTGCCCCAATGACGCTTGAGCAGGGGAGTGCCCTTTGGGGTCATTTTCAGGACTGTTCGAACTACTGTTCGATTTTATGCTCGCCATGATGCTCTTCACTGAGGTACTTGCAGATCCGCAACGCCACGGCCCGCAACATTTTCTTGTTCCTCCGGGATGAGGTGAACAGCACAATACAGGCCTTCTCCACCCAACTTGTTCATGTCCAACTGTGAGGATTTCTGAGAGCCTTTGTGGCTTTGCCATGCTTTGAGATTTGGCAGGGCAGCCGGGTGGAGCTTCGTCATCGTTTCTTCAAGGTGCACGGATTTAAGGTGAAGACATGAATACAGCATGGAAAACCAGTGGGTAAGAGGGCCCCAGAAAGGAAACCTCATAGCAGTGGCAATTTTTCTGAGACAGAGTACTGAGCTGTAGGCACAGATGCCAGGCCTTGGAGGCAGAATTGCATCCACCTTTGAGCACAGACCTCCGTATCTTTGCCATGGATGGTCTGGCTGCGGGGCACGGTGTGGTGCCAAGGCGTTAAGGATGTGAGTGAAGACTGTGGATGTTTTGTCTTGAAGGAGAGAGTTTGGAATCACCTCAGGAATGCATCGGCACAGAGAAGCGTGGTTAGCATCCCTGGCTGGGCGCAAGGTGGGAAACGCTGTGTTCAGCAAAAGCCACATACGCTTTGAAGCAAAACTTGCAGAGAAAGCACATTGAACCTGATCAGCTTTGGTGGGTGGCACCTCCAGCACCTTCGGTGAATGCACCTGGACGGCCTAGCTTCCCCTACAAGGCTGGGATGTTGGAAAGTCTCCGGCTTTGCTTAGTATCTCCAAGTGGGATGAGTCGGCAAAGACTTGCTGAAGTCGCACTTTGTATATTGGCAACAACACTCACCTCGACTGTTGTTTGATTGATTACACGTGAATCGTGAATCCATATGACAAAAAGAATTCGAACATGATGCAGCATCGTCGATGCTCAGCAGAACTTGCCTGATGTCCAGCTGCAGGCTTTGACCCCAGAGGAAGGTGGTTGGCCCTGTTCCTGGCTACTTCAAGAGGACTGATTCAGCAGAGGATTCGTCCCTGAGCTTGACAGTTTTTTGCTGGGCCGAGTGCGTTCTCGGTCTCGTTTAATTCCGCAACGTCTAACTCTTGGGCGTTCACCCATCGATGTCGTGTAGACATTTTTGTGTGTTCGTGTCCACTCTACGAAAGCGTTGCCCAACGAAGACCTTTCCATCGCGTCGTGATATGATGTAACACCAAAGTCACATAACTGCAATTCTTCCACGATTGGAACTCATGTGATCACAAGTGGCCAGTGCTGTACTGTATCATGCGGTGTTTTGCAGTAAAGTGCCAATGAGTCTTTCCGTTTGCTGTGCGGCATAGTTATGTGAATGTTATGTGATGTGCGTGATGTCGCTGTGCCATGTGGATTGACGCAGCCCAGTGGACAGTGCGTTTATGTGGCTCCGTGCCGTTGGGGAACGGGAAGCATGAGTTTGTAAACGCGTTTTGTCGCTGGCGGTGTCAACATTCTGGCGCGAGCCCATGACTGCGTGGCATGTAGGCCATGAGTCACTCGCAGGTGTGCGGCGACCCCACAATTTAAATGTTGTTTGAGATCATTTCCTGTCCTTTGGCAAAGGCAGGGCTGGCTGGTGTACCTTCTGTGTATCATTGGTTGTTCGCTGCGGCTCCTTGGTTATGTTGCTTCGTGTGCCTGTGGCTGTATTGTGGCAGCTTTGGATCGTTGCCTGCCCGCCTGCGTGTTCTGACCACTTGAGCCTGGGCTCCTCGGAATGTGATGCACAAGGTCTGAACTGTTCACTTGTGGGCTGAGTCAGTTAATTTCCAAAGTGGGCGTGTGCCTGCGGCCCGCGGGGCAGGGCTTGCTTCGAAGGGTTAGGCCTATCTTAGGCGTGTTGGCTGGGGCGGGTTTGGAGGAGCTGGTGCCCAATGGCGTGACGAGGTGCGTGCAGCACCCTGGCGAGGTGCGACGACTTGCACAATGCGACATGCGAGTCGTAGATTTTTCACCGCACGCATGTCACCCCTGAACCCCTTCAGGAACATGGAAGAGTATGTCACATCCCAAGTGCGAGTGTCGCCAGTTTGCAGCAAGAGAAGCACGCATGCGGAACAGAGAGCGCCCACCAGTGCACCGGCATATAACCTATGCAACAACGGCAGTTGGTTGAGATTTGGTGGGGACAAAACACCGTGAACGTGGTGACAGCTCTCTCAAAGATGCACGGCCGATGCAAGACAAAATGTTATATATAAAAGACCAGCACTATGGTGACATCAAGACAGAAGCGCCAAAGGCCAAAAGAACAAACACACAAGTTTGTTTGGTTTCAATCAGTTTGCTAATCATCAAACCAAATTTATTGTAGCCTTGAAAACACACGACAGCCTGGCCACGATGGGCATACATGCGTCAACAGTTAACCAAACGCCGCTGAGGCCACCGTTGAGATTTTTGTAAACCGTATGGGGGAAATACACGAGCCTGTTTGGCACTGACACGCGTTTTTTTGCTGTTAGAGCAGCGCAGCAAGGGCACATTTTCAAGACATATTGTGCACATTTGTGCGGCGTTTAATCTTCTGTCTAGTTTCTAGTTTCGGTGCGATTGCCTTGGGTCTTGATGAACAGTTTGTCTTTGACCTTTTGTTGTCCCAGGTGTGGGGCTCAATACTGAACTCAGTCACATCAGTCTTTGCTGCTCTGTCTTGCCATCAACCAGGCCATCCTTCTGCCAGCTGACTGGTGGCACATGACTTGCTCGTGGCGCCTGGCCTGTTTGATGTGGAGGAGTTTGGTTGTCCTTCAAAACTAAAGGACTCATGGATGTTCTTTTTCTTGTAAGACCGACACTCACTAGAATCCAGACCACAGACAACGGTCTTGGGTCCATGTGTGGAGAAGGGCTTTCAACTTTGATGAAGACAGTTGCATTTGTCCACTTCATTGATATATGTTTTTTCGAGGTGCATTGAAGATGCTTTGACAAATGTTTTTCTCCAGGCTGTCCGACTTCAACATTGCTGTTGGAGGCCAATCTGCAGCCCAGGCGAGGGATTGCGTGTGGAAGTTGAGAGTGTCCTGACCCAACCGGTGGGAAGTGACCAGGTAAATAGTTTCAGGTGCCTTTTGTCACCGGTGCTTGTCTTGCACCACAGGTTCCATAGTCACTAACAAGAAGATCTTCAACGATTCGGGCCTGGACGGCCTTGCGCTCAGATTTCCATGGCTTGAGAATCAGGCATAGTTTGAAGTTGCAGGCATTTGTTATTTTGGGCTGAATTGATAAGCTTGTTAGAAGCTAGTTGATGGAACCTGCCTGCATTAGAAACATGCATCGATCATGAAGTTGTGAGTTGGTCATTACTAACAACGATGAAGGAACTTTCAACGAACTGCGGCACACAAGACCGTCAAGGGTTCAAGGATGTCGCATGCGGTCATCAAAGACTCCAACATATCGAAGTTTACAAACAACATAGGAATGGCAGGAACCGGAACGATGATTGGTCGGAGGTATTTTCCACTTTGGACAAGATAGACCTCTCAGACCCTGTGGGCATCTACCAGCCACCACAGCAGTTGATGCGTGAAGCCACAGGCACGACTAGCAAATAAGAAAGTCCGTAAACAAACACAGGAGGGAGATCACATTACAGGATGCTTTCAGCTTTTGCAGCATAGATTCAATACGATTCAAGGTTGCCAAGGAATTAAATTGCCAAATAAACATATACTTCCATTATTTACAGCCTTCGGCATGCCGCCGGCCACCAGCTTGAGCCCGCATTGGCAGGCAGCCTAATGATGCTTATTAACAGTGTTCCACAGTTCTATTTTCGTTCCAAGGCAGGGACAAGATCACCTCTTCTAGGCTGAAGCAGCTATATAATCCGGCACGTCTCTTTGATTCAACTCGCTTTTTCCTGTTCTCGCCATGGCCTAGTCTGAAGCAACCGGGGCAGGGCAGGCTGTCGAAACATCCGCGCGGAGAAACAAACTGTAGATTGAAACCAACCGTAGATTGAAACCAATGGAACCCAACACAAGCCAGACGAAGCAAGACAATCCACAAAACCGGTACTTGAAAATGAGTCTTCTTCCAAACTACTTGGCCTTTTGCATGTTTTCCTTGTCAGATCTTTTTTTCGACCGTCTTGAGGAATTGCGAGTCGCACAAGATATTCTTTTTCACAGACAGAAGGCTTCAAAGCGACTGAAGAATTTCTTGATCTGGCACGATTTGTCGTTTTTTTCTCCAAACCGTTCGAAATGAAAGACCCAGAATGACATCGAACAACAATACCCTGCTCAATCATACTTGTTGGTGCATTGGAGTTGCACATTTGGCTGGGTGAGTTTGTTGATGTTTATTTCAAGGTTGTTTGACCATGAAATGGAACGAACCCGAATCAGAGGTTGTCTATTCTGATCCAGCGATCCGAACCGGCATGTCTCAGTCGAATCACCTAAGAGGAACCAATTGAAACCAACACAAGCAATGCGAACCAAGACTATCCACAAAACATGACCTTGAAAACGGTTCTTCTTCCAAACTACTTGGCCGTTTGCATGTTTTCCTTTTCAGATCTTTTTTCGACCGTCTCGAGGGATTGCGACACGCACCGGATATTCTTTTTCACACACAGAAGGCTTCAAAGCGACCGAAGAATTTCTAGATCTGGCATGATTTGTCGTTTTTTCTCCAAACCGTTTGAAATGAAAGACCCACAATGACATCGAACAACAATACCCTGCTCAATCAGACTTGTGGGTGCATTGGAGTTGCACATTTTGCTGGGAGAGTTTGTTGATGTTGATTTCAAGCGAAGTCGTTTTACAATGAAATCGAACGAATCCGAATCAGAGGTTGTCTATTCTGATCCAGCGATCGACATGTCTCAGTCCAATGGTTGTCTATTCTGATCCAGCGATCGACATGTCTCAGTCCAATCACCTTAGACGTAGCGGGGGGGGGGGAGGGGGGGGTGGGGGGCGTCAGGCTGTCGAAAAATCCGCGCGGAGATACAAACCGTAGGTTGAAACCAACACACGCAATACTAACCAAAACAATCCACAAAACACGCCGGCAGGCCGGCGGATTTCTTCCATTTTTGGTCGCTTCCGCGGGATGCAACATGATCATTTGATCGGATGCCTGTGGTGGTGTTGATGGAAGCTGATTACCAGACCCTAGCGCCTGTTGACAACAGCCCACCACCAGATTCATGTTTTATGCCATGCTTGTAAGGCACAAGATCCGAAGTTTCCCTCAAAAAATCTGAAGAATCATTTTTTTCTCCAAATGAGGAGGCGGCGGCAAAGGCCTCAAACTGAGGCTGGCTGGCATCTTCAAGATGCTACGTTTTGTTTTGAACACTTTCTAAGTGGTTTGCTTTTATCGTCTCTTAGTAATACTCACAGGAACACTACTGGGTCACAGATCTTCACGTTTCATTGAGTCACATTGCGCCACTTGGAACCAAGTCTCCTGCAGTGAGGTCACCTGAAGCAAATGTGCAACTCGTGAAGTTCATGAAGGCATAGGGCCATATGCTCGGGCTGGCCAATGAAAGAATGAAAGGGCACGACTGCCACCACTTTGCCAGGCACTATTGTATGATGTCGCATAGCGGAGGTATTTGCGTACTGGTGTGTTATCTTCTGACTGGAACAGCAAGAAGAAGGTAGGACCCCACAACATAAGCATTCACTTCACAGAGTGATCTTCTCTGGCCATGATGGCTCACATTGCAGGACAAAGATGCCTTGATATGTTTAAAACAACTTTACTGTATATAGACTTTAAATTAGTCTTTGATTTTCGGTTTTGCTGCAGAGAGGATGGTGTCGGTCGCCAGATAGACCAACAACAAACCAACATATTGACTAATGCTAGGTTAAAACATGCAGACAGGTTTCAACGGGTTTGGGGTCGAGTTCTAGCCATGATCTCTGAAAGCAGGCTGCTGAGGTTTTTGCATTTAGATTCATATAATTCTCCAGATGCCAATGCCAACGGAGAATCCTAGAGTATATATTGCAAGTAGTGCTGATTCCAAGCAGTTGTATCGTGTTCACCGTTTGCCTTTAGCTTTATTGTATTGGCAGTTGGCAGCACTCAGGCGGCACCCGGCGTGTGGGCAGGTGGAAGTTCGTAATGTGCGTCTTCAAGTCAATCTCTTTTAACACGTTTGAGATATTGTCAATTCAACAGACCGTATCAGCTGTGACGGCAACTGGCATTGGGCAGGCTCAGCCTACTTGCCACAGCCATGGGGTGCATTCAGCTTTGCTGCTTTGCGCAGATCGTCAGGGCCTGAAGGAATGGAACGTTGGACTAGTTGAAAATATATTAAATAGTTTTACAAGACACCCAACATTTCAAGCTGAGGGGCTACGTGCGCAGCAGACATCCCTACAGGCTGGGCGATATTAAGATTGCTGACAAGACAAAAGGTGGTGCAAAGTTAGCTTTGTTCAAATTGTTTTCAGGAGAAGAAGGTGTCAGATCTTAAAGAGCTCCTGCGTTTGACGCTGAGAAGCAAGAGCATCAAGTGTGACTCACGGGCCTCACGGGTCGTTTCTTGAACATAATGTACAGCTTCATGTGGCGACGATATCTACACTAGATCATGTTCCACCAAGTCACCAAGCCTCAATTACAAACTTTATCATCCCTAGCTTTAAATGCACAAGATGGACATTGACAACATTGAAGGCAGCAAAGGCCTAAAAGTCAGCGGGCGCAAGAAAGAACTGGCTCGGACCCTGCAAATGACTGTCTTTTCATTGTTTGTATGCTAAATCATTGACGGCATGGCAGCACACTACAGTGTTTGGGTCTGTGAAAAATATTGTTGCTTGCGCTGTGATAGACATTTTGTGCATGACAAAGTGACAAAGTGCCTGGAAATGCATCGAGTACAAATGAAAACACAAAACAGTCGAACGCAAATAGATACCAAAGGCCTCCTGGAAAGCAGAATGTTGCAGCGAGGCAACACCGTCAATTGCAAGACATGTTGATTCCGCAAGTTGAAGACTGCCACCCAGGTCGAGAGACTCCTGGCCAGTGCTGAGGAGAGGGTCAAACCTCCAACCGTACAGTGCTTAAGCAAGCTTAAGCCATTCTTTACATCAGGCACTCCTTTGTATGCCTACCGGACATTTGACGAAGAGGGAAGAAGCAAGTAACATTCCAGCCAAAGCACATATTGCATTTGAAGTAGCTTCAATGTGTTGAGAGCCCTTTTTTAGGTAGCGGCATGCATAGCAGAAATACACGCCTCAACTGTGTCCCAGCTTCCTTGCTTTGTTTTTGTGAGGAGCCTGTGGCCAAGAAGCCGAAGAAACCTTCAGGCAGGAATGCAGGAAGTTTTCACACTCGTTTTGTGTCTCCCATCGTGACTAGCCTGGTACTGCAGTGGGTCTTGAATATGGTTTGTGAGGCTTCAGCATGCTTCAGCAATGTTCTTTGTCTTGAAAGCACCTGCGAATGGTTTTTCTTGAAGAACAGCTGCCAACTCCAACCATCCAAACACCAACTAGGCTAGTCAACATACCGCATATATATATATACATATGTGCTTGCAAGTCTTCAATGCCTAAGTTGTAACCTAGGTTACAAGTCAGGTTACAAGTTCGCTAACCTCAACTTAGCATGTGAGAAGTGTGCCAATTTCTACCGCAAGTTGAACATAGCATCCAAGTAGTTTGAGCTATGTTCATAAATAAGATGCAAACAAGACACATTCTGCCCAACTAATTACTGTACACTGTACATACCAACTCTGCTAACTACTTGGGAACGACGCCACCGGGCGCCTGGTCTTGCCGGCAAGTCAGTCATGACGCCCCCAGTCACCCTGTGGCACACGCGTGCGCAGTGCGCACCCTATTTTCGCCACTTGCCAAAACTACTTTGTGTTCCACATTTTGGAGAGTGCTTTAACGTTCTCCTGAGGTGATCCACGCATCTTCTCGCGTCGAAACACCCACTGCCACACACGCATCTCTGGCTTTGCTGAATGCGCAACACACATATACATCGTTTCTATCCAAAAACGTGCACGCCGCCACTACGTTTCTCAACGATCCCAACATCGACCCCGCCACTGTACCGGCCGAGCCTCGCACCCGGCCAAAGCCCTCCCGTCACTCGCAACATCCTTTACCGACTACCTACAAATGCCATTCCAATGCAACACATTGCCACCCAGACCTCCTACTTTCCACCATTCGCTGTCCACTCAGACCAGCGAACCGGCCCTGTGATTTGGGCGGGCACCTATCGTGTGACAGGCAGCGCTACAGCTACCCAAACACCACAATCCCAACTCAAACCAGGCACAAACCCCTCTCCCCAGCCTTCTCCCGTGTCACCCGAGCACGCTCTCCCGTGGCCAACCTTACCTATGCCGCCAACAAGCAGCCGGGAGAATACGGCCATGAATACGCCGACCTCATTCCCAACGTCCTTGTGATGGACTCGATCCAATATCTTCACAATTTCCCAAGCCACCTCCCCCTGCGCTGCCTGGAGACTTTGCGAACCGCATCGGGGGCGCGCCCCGTTGCGGGCGGTCCAAAACGCCGCCCCGCTCGCAAAGCCGTCCCCACACCGCCCAAACGCGACGCGGGTCACCATCACCACAGCACCGCCATCGCTCCAAAACAGCGCCCAGCTCCATGGGCCTACCAACAGCCACCCCAACCGTCGGCCAACCAGCAAGCGGCATATTTCCACCAACAGGCCCAGCCAGTCCAACGGCCACCCCCAGGGTGGTGGCCCCCGACCCAGCCTATGCAAGCACCGGCCCAGGCCTGTGCCATGCCGCATCCTGCACTTTTCACCAGCCCGGCGCCGTATGCCAACTATCCGCACTCCGCACCTTGCGTGACACCACTTCCCTCTCAACAGCCATCCGCAACGCTGCCTCAACGCACCTTTTCTCCAACCACTTCCCAACCCACAGAACTACGGTGCGATGGGGCGTTCATTGCCACTACACCAACAAGATTATGGCGCCAGCAATGATCCGTGGAACGCTCCGGGCCCCTGAGGCTCTGACGGCTCTGACTCTGAACGCAGAGCGCATTCCAATAATGGTCCAACCCGCATATCCAACCTTTTGCTACTACTATGTCACTTCCACCGACTTTTTTGTCTCCTTTGTTTTCGGTCACCCTCGAGTTCTTCGCGCGCGGTGTTTCTGCGGTTTCTGTTTTTCATTGGATGCCTAGGCGACCACTATTGCAGCTTTCAAGGATTTCAAAGGCCCTCAGCGCCAAACACCGACCATGACCGTCATCAGTCTTTGGAAAAGTAGCGTTTTGCGCTGCCGCTTGATTTCTTGTGCTGCTAGCCGCGCTGACAGATGACCATTATACTTCTCAGCTTTTCTTGCTCGAACTTGCTCTTATCGCGTTTTCAGCGACCCACACGCTCAGCATGGACGCGCAATGGCAACCGTATTATTGGCACCATTGCTTGCACCAGCAGGCCCACCAGCCGCAAGTAGGCGCCCACTACACGCCTGCGCACACATACGGACCTATGACTCATGCCATCCACACCCATCAGGCTCACCAGCGTCAGCCTTACCATCACTCCCCCAGCGCCCACACCTCCCGCCACCAACACAACCGGAGTTTCCTCCGCCACCACCTCCTCCAGCAGCCGCAACACCACCGTCAGCGCCGGTGACCCCCAACAAATTCTTCTTTTACGCACAGCCCAACACACCACACCACATCTCCTACACCTCCTGCTACTGTACCCTTTCCCAAGCCACCGATCCACAGATACTCATTGGGACGCGAACGTCCTCTACAACCACCAGCTTTTCCGCACTATCCAGCCCGCCCAATGGTCCCGCAAGGTGGGCATCGTGGGACTACCCATCTTCGACGTGTACCCCTGGTTGCTCGCATACCATGGCACGGGGGGACTTTACGGCTCGAACCTTGAGCCATGGTAAATATTGCGGACTCGTTCCGACCCGCAGTATTGCCGAATCCGTCTTCATCACGCACCTCCTTCAGAGGCTCTCCACCATGCCAAAGGCGCCGACATTCTACACAAAACCACTCAAGCGCACGCCTACCTCGCTCCTCTTATCGAATTCGTTACAACTCACCTGGCTGCCCACGCTCCAGCCGCGGCAGAAGGCTCTGCCATCCGTGAGCTTCAGGCTAAAAGCGAGGAGCTTGAAAGAGCCCAAGCAAAACTCCAGACACATGAGCTGACCCTCACCCCCCGCAAGGACGCCAACAGTTCAACCCCATCCGCTCCATCCACACTCCCCAAAGCAGGCGCCCACAAACCTCCAGTCTTGGCTGACGTCCTTCAACCACCACACCCCTCCCTCAAGGATGACGTTCCGGAAGCGTGGTCCATGCCTGCCATCAACGCTTGGCTTTCCACCTTTGATGAAGCCATCCAAGAATCAGCCAAGGACATTGTTCGTCTCCTCCAAACGAGCAAGTGCGCCCAAGAGCAACTCCGCGAAGCAGGCGCTCGCTACCGGCTCCCTTTGAACAAGCTGAATAAGTCCCCCGCAAAACACTGCAAAATTTAGTCAGTGCGGGGGCCGCCCTTGCCTGCTGACTGAGCTACATAGCTCAGCAGTCACCACATCACCACACACTGCCAACGTGCAACAACTTTTTCGGCTGCGCAGAGCCCTTTCCACACTCATCCACCGAGCCACCTACTACATTGAACGAGCAGACGCCATTTTTTGCCACCGGCCTACTTCATCTCACTCTACTTTTTGTCTACCCTTCTAACACCCAACGTTCTCAGCAATGGCAAAGGCGCTTTCGCCAGTTTGCTCTCCCCCAACTCAGTTTACGTCAAACTCTACTTCAACCTTCAACTACCACACCGATGCTACCACCAACATGGCAATTTCTACATTAGCTCCACAGCTATCGGCGTTCCACATCGCGAAGACAACCGGCGAGCCAAGCTCAAACAACTTCAAAACAATGTTCCCATCTCAGCTGAACTTTTCCTCCACCACTGGCACACCCGCAACACCATTGACCAGTACACCGCTTTTCAACTTTCCTCGAGCGACGCTTATGACCAAGCTTGGATTCACGAACGCAACCACATTTCTAACTGGGCGCCCCCTCTCAACTTTCGTTTCGCGCCGCCTTAATCTGAAAGCCCAAGGCTGGCAATTCACCAAACGTAGAGCTCACTTCTTCTCCCGCCTTGCCACCCACAAGCGGCTTTTCCGACGACTTCGACGGCGTCAGCAAACAATCAGCGAACCACATCTCTTCACCTCCACCAAACACCATGCCCTCACTCTCCTCTGTTCCCTTTTGTCTCCCAGGACAGCGTGTCTGCCTTCCGTCCGGCTTGTTTCCCTTTGTCTCCCTTCTTGTTGGTAACAGTCCGCCTTGTCTCCCTTCTGTCTCCTTTGTCTCCCTTCTTATCTCCCTTCTTGTTGGTCATTGCGTCCGCCTTGTCTTCCTTTGTCTCTGGTCTCCCTTTCTCTCCGGTCTTGTCGGCTTTCCTCCAGTCTTGTTGAAGTGTGCTAGCGCTCGGCTGCCCACTTGCGCAACTTGACCAAACGCACAGCCGACTCTTTTGAAGCTGCCAAGCAACTACGTAGTGGCCGCCACGCGGGCCTAGAACTCTACGCTATTCGCCGCCGCCGCATGGCAGCCAACCTGGAAGAACCAGGTCGCACCAAAGCGCTGCAAGCCATGCAGTATCGCAACCTCACTCCACCTCGTGCGAACGTCCCCCTCACCATACCCTTCTTGGCTCGTGACACTTTTACCACTGAAACTCAGCAGTGGCTACGAACCATCATCCAACACAAGGCCCTTGCCATCCCACTTCACCTTCCTACACATCGACTCCGCGAAGCAGCTCACAAGACACTCCGCAGCCAGCTCCACAACCATCGAAAATGGGAAGACGTTCTACTCACCCCAGCGGGTCCACTCGACCTTCCTTGCGCGTGTGACCATCTCAAAACGCTTCTCATGGATCCAGACCATCCCACCACAGACGGGCACTACATCCTTACCCTTGATCACCTCCAGCTTCCTCCCCACCTCCGCATTTTCTTCAATGCCAACATGAACAGCGCTTTCCCGCCTACCAAAGCCAGGTGCTAGCCTTCCAAACAGCCTTTCGCAAATGGCTCCGCACTCAAGGCTTCCCACCATCCCTCGTACAACACACCGAATCTTTCCTCCATCACCAATGGCGACTCCACATCTCCCACCTCAAACAAACACCACACTTTACAGCGCGCTTGATCCGCCAACTGCAGGAATATCACGGCGACCGAGTCGTCCTGCGCCACGCTGACCATGAGCTGCAACAGCTCCGCATCTTTTGTCCACAGCAATATTTCCGAGGCGCCCTTAACACCTGGCGAGCGCCTGAACTTTTCCAACCACTATACCCCGCCTGACTCCACTCAACATCAACGACCACCTTTTGGCCACCGTTCCTAGCGGCCTCCGCGCCCGGTGCAAATGGGGACTCCGCAAAGAGTTCACCATCCCGCACGGCATCGTCCACCTCAAAGAGAAGAAGCAGTTGCACAAAGGCAGAACCATCATCTCCTACTACCACTCCCTTGCAGGCAACCTTCTCCGCGTCACTAGCAGAGCAACATCATTCTGCAACACCTTTACCCCCAACACCCTGGCCAGCTCTCTATACCCCAGTTATGGCAACGCTTCCACACGTATCTCGCCCAGGTCCCTTCTGACATCACTCTCCATGCCACAAACGATGACCTTGTAGGTTTCTTCAATTCTGTCCCCCAACACCGCCTCATTGATGCTGTCCACAGCTTGGTTCAACGCTCCACCCACACCATCACCATTCACACCCAGGCCACAGGCAATCCGTACCACCACTCTCACATTGGACGACACCATTACAGGCGTCCTACACAACGCACCCTCCATGCCGCCGACATCACTCCCCTTTGACTTTTGCACTCAACACACGCATTTTCCGGGCACGCGACCACGCTTATCAGCAGATTCGTGGCGCTGGCCAGCTGTCACCCGCCCTCTGCAACGTGGCTATCACTCTCATCGAACATTCCTGGCAGCAGCTCCACAACAATCCCTTGCACCGTACCAATTTCCATTTCAATTACTATCGCTATGTCGACAACCATTTCATCGCCCACAACGAGCATTTCCTCTCACACCCAGCCGTCCAGACCCTCATTCACCACGATTTTTTTGGGGACCCTGTGGAACTTGAGACCGTTGATGACAACCACCTCTTAGGGTTCGACATTGATCTCACCCAACGCACAATCTCTCACATTCAACCCACAAAATCCTGGAAAACCCGGGACGCCACCAGTGCCGGTAGCAAACGGCTTACACTCTCAGGACTTGCCTCGCGACTACACACCATCTATACGCTTACACCTTTCCAACAACAGCGGCAGACGCAGCAGCTGAACAGCTTGTCAACCTCTATGTCCAAAAAGGACACGCAGCATCTGACTGCAGACGATGATTGAAGCGGCCAAAAAAGACAGCAGCCACCTCTTGGAGCGCCGCAAGCGGCTATGTGTGTGTGTGTGTGTGTGCGTGTCACCCTCCGTACCTAGCAGTTCTGTATGCAGGGGAGCGGAGCAGGCCTGCAGAGCTCCACTTAACAAAGCTCTCTGCAGTGTCCTGAGGATATCACTGGAGACGTCCAGTGACGTACCTGCTGAAAGATTTGCCCGCGCCGTGATTCCACTTTCCCTGTTTTGATTCCATCGCGGTTTTGCGTGCCACTTCCCCAAAGCAGGTTTCCCTCAGCCGCTCTCAGCCGACTTTGGTTTTGCAGCTGCAGTTGCGGGATTGAAACCATCTTGTTAAAACACCTACAAGTGCTCGGACTTGCCACCATTCCGTTCTTTCACTCCTTTCGACATGGAATAGAGTTAGCTGAAAACCCTCTGACTAAGTGTCTGTCTGTGCCCCTTCACAGGGATCCACTCGGATTGTACTGTTCGCGTTTTCTTTTTGTAGAGCAGGGGGCCCATGGACACTTGGATGGCATGTGCCAACGAAGACCCATCCAAGCTGTCGTGAAAACGTACCTGCTTGGTGCACCTGGGCGCGTGTAAGACGCTGCTGGTGGCCACCTTTCTTCCTTTTCTTTTTGTAAAGTGCTAATGCATCGGCAGTCGTGCACGGAACGTCGTCATCCCGTCGGCTCGTCGTTTCGTGGCATTTAACTAAAGGCGCGCAGCCCCCCTTTACCTGGTTTTTCAGGATTTGGTTTCTTAGGCCGGCGTGTGGCGCCGCTGTCAAGCCAGTACGCATAATCATAAGTGTGTCTCTCCTAGTGAGAGCCCAGGGTGAGCCTGCAGAGTGCCCCCTGTGGACCCGTTGAACACCGGGGTTTGTTTTTTTGGCGCCCGGGACCAGAGTAGTCCACAGCGGACAAAGCAGGCTTAGGCCAAAGTTATTTGCCAAGATTTGTCGGACTATTGCATTCCAAGCTGGCTCATGCCTTTACGTGACCGTAGCGGTCAAAGCTGCCAGCCATTTTGTAATACTCAGGTTCGCCCCTCTCTCACTGGTGTGTCCCTGGCCGCTTGTGCGTAGCTGGGAACACCTGTCCTCTTCCTTCTCTTTTCCCTCTCTCTCTCTTTTCTCCTTCCTTTCCTTTCCCTCCTTCTTGTTCTTGTTTGGGTGTCCCTGGATGCTTTCGTCATGGCTGGGAACCCTTCTCCTCTCTTCTTTGGGCGCGTCCTTGGACGCTTGTGCGTAGCTGGGAACACCTGTCCTCTTCCTTCTCTTTTCCCTCTCTCTCTTTTCTCCTTCCTTTCCTTTCCCTCCTCCTTGTTCTTTTTTGGGTGTCCCTGGATGCTTTCGTCATAGCTGGGAACCCTTATCCTCTCTTCTTTGGGTGCGTCCTTGAACGCTTGCGCAGTAGCTGGGAACACCTTCTTCCCCTGTCCTTTCTTCTCTTTCCTTTTTTGTCTTCTCTCCCTACCCCTCCCTCCTGTCGGACCTTAGCGTGGGACGCTACTAGGGGGCTCCTGGCCTTACTACTAGGTGTTTCCTCTTGTAAAGCGTTAATGCCTTGGCAGTCACGCGCGGAACGTCGTCACCTTGTCGCGTTTCCGCAGTTCGAGCTCGTGGGCTTTGAAGGTTCCGTGTGAAGTTTTCAGTTACTACCTAACCTGAAACCTTAGCCGTTCAAACCTAGGTGGGCGTGTGGCATGTGGCGTTCGAGTCAGTACGCTTTTCTATAAGTGTGTCAGCTTTGGACTCAGCTTAGAGCAAAATATGCCTCCCTTTGGGGAGGCGTGTGTGTGTGCCCCTTGTAGTCACAGGGATCCACTCGGATTGTACTGTTCGTGCTTTCTTTTTGTAGAGCAGGGGGCCCATGGACACTTGGATGGCATGTGCCAACGAAGACCCATCCAAGCTGTCGTGAAAACGTACCTGCTTGGTGCACCTGGGCGCATTGTAAGACGCAGCTGGTGGCCACCTTTCTGCGATATTCGTTCATGCCTCTCAGTCCTCGGGCCACCGGGGTGACCTGGACTTCAGTTGCCTTCCTTCTCTTTTTGTAAGGTGCTAATGCATCGGCAGTCACGCACGGAACGTCGTCATCCCGTCGGCTCGTTGTTTCTTTAACTAAAGGCCCGCAGCCCCCCTTTACCTGGTTTTTCAGGATTTGGTTTCTTAGGCCGGCGTGTGGCACCGCTGTCAAGTCAGTACGCATAATCATAAGTGTGTTCGTTTTCTAAATCAGTGCTTCACTAATGTTTCATGACTCGATACTCGTCACGGAGAAGTTGAAACCATGACTCCCAGACCCATTTCCAGAACTTTGCGAAAAATTGGCTTTTTCCCCTCTTCTGATAAAGTGACTTGCGCAGACCTCTTGCTTGTGAAAATCTTTTTTGATGACCCATTTTTAGATAAAATGGGAGTGTACACCTCACTTTCCGGGAGCGATGAGGATGATTGATAAAAATTCCTAGGGTCCTAGAAGACCACGATTCCATGACATTTCGTAAAAGGAACAACAATAAGCCCAATCAAAAATCCAGGGCCGGTTGAGTTCTTATTGAAATAAGATTGTACGGCGTGATTATGTTCATGAACGTCATAACTATCTCCAGATAAAACTGTTTGATTTCCATAAATGAAAGAGACCGCTGCGAAGGGGCCCGCTCTGACAATGCTGCTGTAGAGGCAAAGGAAGTTTTGACTCGCGCGTGGTTTTGGTGAATGTTGTTTTTCGGGAGCTCTGGTTTGTAACCGGCTGACAACACTTTGGCTGGTCTTTTTTCATGAGGCAACCGCCAAATAATTGCCCTTCAGGTTTCATTTGAGGAGACGGACTTGAACACTTGGATAGCTCTACGGGTGTGGCCCTTTGACCCTGCTTCCACGGATTGCGACGACAAGAGGGTAGGTTTCTGAAACCCCATCATTCATAATCCTCGTCGCTCTCAATTGCAAAACCTGGACACTCTATGCAAGGTGATTCCATCAAAATTAATAGCAGTACTTTCTGTAGGCCAACTTATCGAGAAACTGTGAGAAATGTATCAGACGGTCGGTTAGCAAACAAGACAGCAGGTCTCTTGAATGAAGAGGGTGGCAGAGAGGTGAAACAACATGAAATAGCCCCCAGTCTGATCCGTTACTCTCGCTTGCCTAGTCTGCGCTTGCGTTAGCCTTTCAAGACCCTGAGCAAGGCAGCTGGGCAGTTTGGGTTTCCATGGTGATCAGTTGCTGCAAGTCCGACCTTCCAAGATGTTGCAGTTGTTCTTGGATGTATTTTTACAAAGAGAACATTTTGAGTCGCTAGTCGACTAACACCTCTTGTAAGAAATCTGAGGCGCGATGTTTTCTGAAGGATCTATGCTGCAATGCCTAAATTCTGAGCATATGCCAAAGGTGATCCCAAGCTTTTCCAGGAGGCTAAAGACAAGTCCGGAGCCCTGGCAGTTCGTCTGAACCACATGGCGTGTAGTGCTGATTGCATCAACCGAAAATGAATGGGTATTGCATGGTCGTGTATGTTCACTTGTAATCGTGCTGTTTAAGCCCAAGCTTCCGGTCCGAGCTTCAGGTTTATATCAGATTGTACTCTCTTTTCTCGTTTAATTCTGACGCATTGCATTGCTTAGGCAGCTTGAGCTGGGGTCGTTTTGGAACGCGTTTGTCGATTGGCGCAGTGCAAGCGTGATCAATGAACATTCTGTTGCGTTGGTTTAGTTGCATCGCGTTGTCCTGACATTACTTTGTGTATTTGTTGGTTTCTTTGTGTTTTCACCACTTTGTGGTGATGAAGTGGAAGAGTCTCATGTTCATGAGAAGGTTGACTTGACCTTGTGTCCCCATGGCCGTATGGCCCAATGACAGGCCTTGAGCTAGTCCGCGCTGCGCCATGAAAGACGCGTATGATATCGTCGTGGGTTCGATCGGTTCGTTCATGAACTTGGGTTTGTGTTGAGCATTGTTTGTTGGATTGTTGACATCCTACCGTTTCAGTGGTAGGCGGAGCACTAGTTGCGATGTTTGGGACCACCCCTACAGATCCCTGGATGCATTGGAGGAACATGCAGGCCGGTCAAGCTGATGCCTCTTCACGACCTCCTTTTGTGCAGTCCCAAGGATCTCAACAGACAAACCCAGGTTTCACAGCAGCTGCATTCGCTTCATCCTTGGGATCTTCGAGTGCAGCTCAAGCCACAGGTTCGCGGAACCCACCTACCAGTGCCTTCAATTTGCTTGGGAAGAATGCACCTCCCGCCAGTGCTGTTCCACAACAGCCGACTCGCCAGTCGCCAGATCAGCTCATTGCGAGTCCTTTGCATCAGGCCCTGGCAGGAGAGAAGCGTGCCATCCCGAGCTGGAATGGATCTCCTTCGACCTTGAGGTCATGGCTGAAGTTGTTGGCCGTTTGGGAGTTTGAGTCGACGGTTCCCATGGACAAGAGGGGAATCAAGTTGTTACAAAGTTTTCCAGAGAACTCCCAACCTCGTCGAATTGCAGATACTGTTCCTGTTGAAGTGTTGTTGTCCCCACAAGGGTATGGAGCAATTTTGGCAGCAATTCGTCAAAAGTATCAACCCTTTTTGGAAGCATCGGCACCACATGCAATTGATGTTTTTCTGTTCGAAGGAGAGCGTGCGAAGGGTGAATCTTTCAGTTCATTCATTGCTACAAAGCAGTTGCAACGGCAAGAGATGGAATCCCAGCTGGGCGAGAGGATTTCTGATCGTTTGTGTGGCCGCATTCTGCTGAAACAGGCCAATTTGAATGAGCTGCAACGAGAGATGGTTTCTCTTCGAGGCCCAGTTCTTCGCACCTTTGATGAAGTTGCAAATATGCTCAGGCCCTTGGACAGCTCAGACGAAGATGAAGAGGGCTATCCATACGTCTACTTTGAGGACCGAGAGCACGATGAGCTTGAAGCAGTTGAGATCATGGCATACCATGCCGCTTACAGGGATGTTCGCCGTGAGCTTCAAAAGAGAAAGAATGAACGTGGCTATGTCTCCCGAGATCGTGCCAAAGGTTCTTCAAAGGGCTCTCGCTTTGTTCGCAAGGGCAAAGGCAAGAGCAAAGGAAAGAAAGGAAAAATAAGTTTTCAGCAGCGCAATAGCAACAAAGGCTATGAGGATGATCTGGAGCAACGAACACGTTGTTGGAATTGTCAGGAGTTGGGACACTTCTCAAAGAACTGTCCTTTGAGCTCCCGTGGAGCAGGTTCTTCAAGTACATCAGCCTCCACCAGACGACAACAACAGTTTGTTGTGAACAATGGACAACAGTCGTTTGCAACTCAGCAATACATGCAGTTTTCCATGCGTCCATTGCCAGGTCAGAATCCACAGGTTTTCATGCATGCAATGCAAGCGGCTCGCATTTCAGTGTATGCAGGAGTTGTTTGCGCACCAGGTGAAGCATTGGTTGATACAGCAGCAGAAGAAGCGGTGATTGGCACACGTGCATTGCAATCATTACAACAAGAGTTGAAGAAGCATGGATTGCAGACCTTGAAAGTTGACCCTTTGATGCCCCTCCCCACTGCAGGTGAGGTGGAATTGGTGGCCAGGCGGCAGTGGAGTGCCTGGTTGAAATCCCCATCGGGGTTGCTGGCATCAATGGGGTCGTTCGCTTTACGGTTCTGAAGGATTCCAATGACTGTGCCACTCCACCACTTCTGCCCATTTCGTTCCTCGAGACGATTGAAGCGACAATAGATACCAAGCGGGACCTTTTGGTGGCCGGCAATGGTAATACTGCACCCATGCGCCGGTTGCCAACCCGCCATCGAGCCACAAGCATCCTCAACTTCGCCGACAACAAGTGGAGTCTCCCGGTTCAGCACCGGAAGGATCCCGCCATTGATCCTTTTTGAGATTCCTAGGCAGAGTCCTGCCAACCGGACCACGTCCTTTTGGCTACAACCTCAGGATTGTGTTTCAGTTTGGTTGTTACGCAATGATGTGTTGACGCATGTACAAGACGCGCCGGAGCGCCATACATAGTTGTTGCCATCACAATGCAGTGCGCTCAAACATTTTGAGCATGAGCTGGAGCCAGAAAGGTTGACGTATGCAACATTGACTGACGGCCATCAGATGGTTGTGCGTGATCGTTGGCAGTCATGGTCCGCAAGTCGCTCGTTGCTACAGCCTTACCACGGTTCAGTCATTTTTGCTTCATCCATTGGTGCGTTGGCTGACAGGATTTTGGGGGGAGAGTCGGATGTTGTCATGACTGTTGATAGCTGCAGCCCTGACATTTCGAGCGCTTTTGCTTCGTTGCCGGCCCCTTCCAACAGTCGCTCGTGGAGCTCCAGGACGAACGCAGAGACTTTTCACGGTCGCGCTCACGAGAAGCGTGAACTGTGTGCTGAAAAGAAGGTTCGTTTTGTTGAGCAGGATGGGACACCAGGTGCGTCTACTTCCTTCACCACCACTATTTCCGGGACACCATCAACTCTGGGGACATCTTCTACTACATGTTCAGCTATTCCCCAAACTATGAAGGAACTATCCCACCAAGATTCCGGTTCGACAAACCACCTTCTCAGCGATGCTCGATGCTGCAAGGCTGCCACCTTTGGCCCCACTGCCGATGCAACGGTCGGGCCTCCCAAGACAATCAGAGCAGCTCAGGTTTTTGACATGACAGCTGATGAGCATTTGCATGCAGTTGAACCGACAGAGCATTGTGTGAACCTTTTGAGCGATTCGTCAAGTCCTTCTTCGTTTGTTGGCTCAGATCACAGGTGGCTCAAGATCGCTTCAGGTGCCACCGATGGCCTCTCTCCGGGACCGAGCTGCCAAGGTCCTGGCCGAGCCATCCAATTCGACGACATCGCCTATACGAGGTCAACCGCTCGCGAACAGCGAGCATGTCAGGCTTGGAAGAGGATGATCATTACCATCCTCATGCTCCTCCGAAACACCCGACAAGAGATGTTGATGGAATACTTGACTCAGAGGATTCCGGAGCCGGAGGAGACCAAGCCCCTCGAGAACAAGCGCAAGAAGAACAAAGGCTTGGATCCAGAAGCCAAAGTCCGCGTGGGCATCGGCAAACCTTTGTCCAGATCGGTTGCCGAAAAAGAATGGAACTATGCCGTGGAGGATTGCGAGCGCGATCCGGACTACCTGACACATCGCGCCGGTCGTGGCCACTTCTGGTTCACTTGCCTGCAATGCGGGGCAAGATGGGAACGATTGGAAACTTCGCAATCAAGCTCCTCGACTTCCTTGGTGGTCGAACCAGTCAAGGGCAAGCACAGCAAACAAGCCTACCCGAAAGAAGTGCCTCCACCAAGGTACCGTCAGGACCTTCAAGGGCAGAATCGGGAGATCAAGGTCAAGGACAGCGACCAGTTGCCGATTGCACCACACACTGGACTTCAGATGGGCATGGCACCTCCGTGTCAAAGCTTTTCAACGGCGAGGCCAAGTCGATCAGCCGATGAGATGAGTGGGTTGATTGCTCTTCCAGGCCTCCGTTCTTAAGGACAGATCCCAAGCCCAGAGCGCTTTCAGTTGAACATGGACGAGATGTCGCCCACCGGGATCAGTCAGTCCGAATGGGAGGACGCCATGATGAACTACGAAGAAGTGAAGATCCAGGAAGTGGAAGCGGTACATGGCCCGAATTGGACCCAGGAGCAGTTCGACCAGATGCACAACCAGTGAAATTGAAGGCTCAGCTGGTGCATTCACATCACTTAGCTTCTAAGGAGCCGCGCCTTTGTCAAATGGCTATGATTCTTTTGCGCTCTTTTGCAGCTGCCGCCAACTCGGTGGACAGCACACGTCACTTGCCAGCAACACCGGACGAAGTTCCTGAGCTGATGACACGTCACTACGAGGTGAACGAGCCCTACTACCGGTCTACCGGTGAGCGCTACATTGGGGACAAGTTCACCTACCAGTCCCCTGATGCACAGAACTGGAAGCACTGTTTTGAGCACCTTCCTTGCCTTTTGGGTCAGCCGACCCACCTTTTCTTTTGTACTGATGAGAAGAATGAAATATGGCAACAGCAGCGATGGAATTCAGAGACAGATGATTTTCTTCAAGTTTTTGCACGTCAATACCCTTCATTTTGTTGGGTATATCCAACTACACGCACTACAAGCTCCTTGGCTCATGATCTTGACTGGAATCAACCCGCCAAAGCCATCCCACGTGGCGTCAAGATCTTCATTGAGAGGAGCATCAACGACAAGCATGGAGTTGATGCGATGGAAATTTACAGCCCACCAAGACTGACGCTGGAAGCCCAGAAGCAGAATTGGAAGAACAAAGTGAGACCACCATGGCACATTGGCGAAGCCTTAGACTTGGTCACAGGCTTTGATTTTCGACTTCCTCAAGATCGAGCTCAAGCCTTGAAGTTGGTCAGACTACATCGACCAGCGCTACTCCTTTTGAGTCCACCATGCACGAC